TCCCGACCCCTGGCCTGCACCCCAAACCCCGGGCCTCCACCCCGACCCCCGGGCCTGCACCCCGAGCCCCGCGAAGCTGGCCCACGGGGACCCGGCCCGCCGCTCGTGGACGGCCCGTCTGTATGTCCTGTGCTCAGACAGCTGTTAGCGGCTCGTTAGCACCAGTGCTCCTGTTCCAAGCTAAGACACAAGTCCAAAGTCCCCAATAGGCTATCTCAACTAGTTGTTTCGTTTTCTTTTTAAAACGTTGTTTCTAGGGAGACGTTATATGGCCAGTCTGGCCTCCAGCTCTCTGACCTGTCAGGCCTGGACCATCAAAACCCCCACTTTACTTTTGCTCCCCTTTGTGGCTTCTGTTTTCTTCCTTTCTTTTTAGATTCCTTATTTTTGTTATATGAGATTCCATGACCAAACTTTAGTCAGGCTCCTGAGTCTACTCCTAGGCCTTTCTGTGTACACTTCCCTGTAAAACCTGGTTTGTAGTGAAAACTGCTAGGGCAGCTAGAATCATCCTGGATCCCTGAGCAGACTTCTCTTCCTCGAGGGTCCTGCAGGATTGCTGGAGATGTTGGATCTCCCTGGCCCATTCTCATTAAACTCTCTTTCCCCGATGTGACCTCCTAGGCATTTTTCCATCAGTAGATCCCTTCCTTGCTCTTTAGCTATAGATACCTACTTTGTCTTGCTGTGTAGGGAGTTGAACTCCCCCCCCCCACACACACCCCATTGGGTTTGTTGTCACTTGCTGCCAGTTTCCTTCAACTGTCCCTGGTGTCAGCAGTAACCTTGTCCCGGCCCCTTTAAGTGTACTGGAATATCCTGAGCCATCATCCCATAGCAAGTGATAAGACTGTGTTAGGCAACTTGGGGAATGTGCTCTTGAAAGGACTTTGCTGTCTATTCCAGGTAACATGAACTGGTCCTGAGACCAACAATGGCCATGCCTTTTTCACTGGGGCCCATGAGTTTTAGCTAAAAACTTTCTTTCTGTCTTATAGCAACAAATGAGCCCCTTTCCATGGAACAGCCCTGTGATCCAATTTGACTGTAGGTGGTTGCTCCTATACTTAATTGTGACACTTTTGCACTCTTGGGTATATGCAGGACTATGGGCAACAGTCTCCACTAGTAGCATGCACGGTGTCCCCAGCACAATGAATATACCAGCCACTAAGGAGGAAGCTTCCAGTTTAACCCCACCTGGATTACTTTGTATGCTGGAATGAAAGCCCGTGGTGTCTTCAGCAGTGGGACTTAATCATTCTGGCATGCAGCCACCTGCATCCACACGGGCTATAGCCTATATGGTATAGCCTGAGCAGCCTTGTCGCCGACAGCTTACAGGACCGTGTCCGATGCCTGAAATGGGCTTCAGTTAACAATCCGATGGCTTTGAAAACATTTAAAGAAACAATGGAAGTCACTTTGTTTAAAATCTTTAGCTGTTGCTTTAAGTAGCTTGCTACTTCTGTAGCTGTTTTTTATATTGGCTGTGATATTTTTATATCTCCTTAGTAGTTTGTATTTTTTTGGTATTAACCTCCCTGTGTGGGGTGAGCATTGTCACCCAGCCAGGTCTTACAGTCTTTACCTACCTTATCTCAGACACAGGATACACCCAATTAGGACATGCAGGTTGTACCCTAAGAGCATATCTACCCACAGCACACTCTCTTCCTGGGGAGAAATAGAAACAGTGTACTCCCAGGTAAACTGGGTTTCTGTACATGTTTTGTTCTACTTTTGTATTTGTCTGTAGCTGTTATCTTCTGTGTTTGGAATTGTTATGTTTGCCTTGGTGTCCGCTAGTTCTATTGTGACCTGTTCATTAATAAGGGACTAGTACATTTACAGTATAATGTGAGGTCTTCTATAAAAAAATCATATTTTAGCCGGGCACTGGTGGCTCACGCCTGTATTCCTAGCTACTAAACAGGCTGAGATCTGAGGATCGCGGTTCAAAGCCAGCCCGGGCAGGAAAGACCGTGAGATTCCTATCTCCAATAAAACCACCAGAAAACCGGAAGTGGCGCTGTGGCTCAAGTGGTAGAGTGCTAGCCTTGAGCTGAAGAGCTGAGGGACAGTGCCCAGGCCAAGAGTTCAGGCCCCACGGCTGGACCCCAAAAAAAAAAAAAGAAACTTATCGAGGGGATGGGCAGGGAGTGTAGCTGTGGAGGTGGGAGGGAAGGGATGGAAGGGGAAAACAAAGGAGGGGGAAACAGTGCTTGATAAGAAATGTACTCTTTACCTTGCTCATGTAACTGTAACCCCTCTGTACAGTATTTTCACAATAAAAAACTTACTTAAAAAAAAACTTTTAAGTCCCTGTTCATATCCCAAAGGTAACAAATTCTCTAAGAACAAAGACTGAGCTAATGGTGAACCAGGACACACTTGTGACTTAAAAACTTTTAACTATGCAGACCTTCCTCCCCCTCAGCAGCCAATGCTCCCTATTTAACCGGAAGCCAATTCTGTATCCCTGAAGGCAGTGGAAGAAGTACTTACTGAAGAGCTGTCTTCTCATAGCTGCCATGGAATAAATCTTTCTCTTTTCTCTGTCCTTCAGAAAAGAAACTTGAAGCCACCACTAAAAAGTTAGTTACTAAACACACACAGACACACACACACACAAAACCGGTTGGCAGCTATTTAAAATTTGTAACCCAGTAAGTAGTGCATGCCTATCATCTTAGCTACTTGGAATGCTGAGATCTGAAGATTTTGGTTCAAAGCCAGCCCAGGCAGGAAAGTTCACAAGACTTTATCTCCAATTAGCTAGCAAAAAATGCTGAACTGGAAGCATGGCTCAAGTTATAGAATGCCGGCCATGAATGAAAAAGCCAAATGAGAATGGAGAGCCCCAGGACTGGTACAAAAAATAAAAAAAACATGAAGTCTGAAAATATATATCAAACTGTTACCTGAGTACGAATGACAATAAATAGTCTACCATTGCTGGGTGCCAGTGGCTCACTATAATCCTAGCTACTCCGAAAGCTGAGATCTAAGGATGGTTCAAATCCAGCCCAGGCAGAAAAGTCCCCTTGAGACTTATCTCCAGTGAACCACTCAAAAACCAGAAGTGCTGAGGATCAAATGGTAGAGCAATAGCCTTGAGCATAAAGAGGCACCGGAGCAGCATCCAGGCCCTGAGCTCAAACCCCACAACCAAATAAATAAAAATCTACCACTTACGGTAATACTAGGGTTTGAACTCAGGGCCTTCCACCTACTAGGCAAATGCTCTTATCACAGTCCTAATTCTACCTCTTTAAAAAATAAGGGGCTGGGAAGGTGGTTCAGTGGTAGAGTGCTTGCCTAGTATCATGAAGCCCTGGATTCGATTCCTCAGTACCACATACACAAAAAAGATGGGAGTGGTGCTGTGCTATGGCTCAAGTGGTACAGTGCTAGTCTTGAACCAAAAAAGCTCAGGGACAGTGTCCAGGCCCTGAGTTCAAGCCCCTGGGCTGGCCAAAAAAAAAAGAATAAATGAAAGATTTCATCTTTAGATTATTCATAACTAATATGTAAATATACAATTAAGGGTGGAGATATAGCACAGTGATAGAGTGCTTGCCTAATGTACACAAGACCCTGTACTACAAAAGAAAAAAATATAAATTTCGTACACTGTTCTTTCACTCTGCAACCCTGATGAGTCGCTTATTACCGAGTGGTTTTGTAGTTGATTCCTTATGATCTTTTCTACACATATGATCATGCCATCTCAAATAGAGAGACTATTACTTCTTCCTTTCCATTTTAGATGGCTTTTTCTTTTGCTTTATTAATTTTGCCTAAGTGCCTTGGCTAAAGTATCCTATACAATTGTGAACAGAAGTCGCTAGAGCATTTGTTTCTGATCTTAGTGGCTGAACTTGAACTCCCAATCCAATCCTCCTGTCTCAACCCTCTGAATTATGGGCTTAAAAATAGTCTTTACAGGGGCTGGGAAGGTGGCTCAGTGGTATAGCGCTTGTCTTGCATGCGTGAGGCCCTGAGTTCAATTCCTCAGCACCCCATAAGCAAAAGGAAAAAAGCCAGAAGTGGTGCTGTGGCTCAAGTGGTAGAGTGCTAGCCTTGAGCTGAAGAGCTGAGGGACAGCGCCCAGGCCCAGAGCTCAGGCCCCACGACCGGACCAAAAAAACAAAAACAAAAAAAACCAAATTCACTGTTTATCTGAAAATCCAATTTTTAAAAAACTTAACTGGGTATCATCTT